ATATCGACTTGTTGTCCAGCTCTATCCTCTTCCATAAAGAAACGCTTCATAAAGCCAGGCAGAGACGAGATGTGGCGTCCACGCATCATGGGGAGACACGACGAGGACTCACCATGCGTTTCTGGATGAAGAGCTGCGCTCCCTTCAGGGCGCCCGCCATGTTCTGGCACAACCTCAGACGCTCGTCCTCGTTCAGCACTTGGGTGTAGAAGGCACGAACCTGGAATCAAACGTGGAGAAATGTGTGCAAACAGGGTTTCAAATGGAACTCGTACCAAGTCAGATAAGGTCCTGAAGTACACGCTTTCAGGCCACAATGTGTGTAATATACATAAAAACAAGTGTTTGCAATGCTCCAGGAGGGTTAGAGGAAGCTTGTTTGCAGGAAGTGTGTATGAAAACTGATCTCTCCAAAAAAGTGAGGACGTGGTTTGAACTGATGTGGAGTTTTGGGGAGCGCATTCAGTAAAACGGTGTGAACTGTGATTATGTCTCGGCTGCGTGCAGTCGATCAGAAAAGTGAAAGGAGTTTTGTACTGTGTTGGCAGAAAGACCCAGTACTGTGCACGTGAAAGTAAATAATGCATTTACAGGAAGTGCAGACGTGGTGCAGTCTGAGCCGAGAACATTCTCCCCATGAGCGTGTGTGAAAGACATGTTGATGCAAATTTTGGAAACAAATACCCCGGTACTTCAGGGGGATGTGGCAATTCCTCTGTCCAGTTTACTTTTCCATAAAAAAAAACATTTTGCTCCGTCTGTTATTTAAGTTATGAAGTAAAAAGCTACTTCATTCGGCGCGCCAGTTTGAGATACAGCTGTTGGGAATAACTTTAATGTCCAAGTTATATATTGTATCTAGGGGAGCTCCACAGAACAAACTAATATTAATATTAATGATCATAATAGTAATAATAAACAGTAACATTCACAAGATGACCAGGCAATTATATTTAGCTGCCTGACACAGTGGATAATTAATAATAAAAAACTATCTAACGCTTGTTTGGTTCTTGTGTGTGTGACTGAAAGTGTGATCGAGTTGGTGAGGACATTTAACCGTCACAAAGAAATAATACTGATGTGACGCCTCCAAAAATTTACTGCATGTTAAAATCTTTGGGGTACTCCAGAGAAAAACAAGTTATCAAAATAATTTATTTTGTTGTTTTAATCGTGCCAAACTCCTTTCAACTTTCATTACACACTAAACTACACCCCAACTATAAACCCCAAACATGCTAAACACCACAAATCTCTCAGACCTCATGACTCACTCTCGCTGCGTCTTAATCTAATCGCACCGAACTCCATTCAACTTCTGCGTCTTTTTCTTCTTCTTGTGGAATTTTTTTGGCGATTTACAACAAACTGAGCCTCCGTCAGAAAGGAGGGGGAGGTTGTTCGGTGTGGTGGGGATGGGAGGGGAAAGTGGAGGGTGATGGGAGTGTTTTGTCCCGAGATTGGCAGTTTTTGTCGCAGCCGCTCGCTCTAACACTTCAGATATGACGAAGATTTTCAGAAAAGATGTGGCGTGGATTATTGATCATAACTCTGATTTTACTTGGCCTCAACACAATTTAAAAACTGCTGAGTAGATTAAAATCTGTACTTTATAGACAAGTTAAAATGGAGTCCGAGAGACTGGGTCTTTCCCTCCTAGAGAGATTAAAATAGGTCATGTGACTATCATGCGCCGGTGCGTTGATTGACTCCAAAGGAAAAGAAAATCATCAGAGCAGGTGATGAAATCAACTCCTGCCACGTGTTATTGAGACTAAACATCAACTCTCCAATATAAGTTCTGGTTAGCTCAGTCATCGAATGGGCATGAATCGTGTTTGAAGGGGAGAGAGTTGCAAATTGTGTGCAACATTGATCAAATAAGGGAAAGGGAGTTTTGTACTGTGTTTGCAGAACAGACCCAGTATTTTGTACGTGAAAGTAAGGAATGAGGAACAGTCCGAGTCTTGACTGGCATAATTTGTTTTTGCATGCAACCTCTGAATTATTGATATCTGCACCATTAACAAATAATACGTTTGATCCTAAACTTTAAATGATACATTGATAAGGTGTAGCATAAATTTTAAATCCTCTTACAACCTCGAAGCAATAAAATACTATCACAATACACTAAAGCAAGTGTGTGAAAAACATAACAGCATGTCAAGGAGGCCGACTACGAAGTGGAGTCGTTTCGTTTCTACTGAAAAGAGGACGCAAAGATTAGAAGCTGTAGGTGGTAAAAAAAAAAAACACAAAACCTGAAACCAAACGAAAAAGGAAGGCAGCGAAAAAGCCCTCAAGAAACAAGTCTGCAAGTTAAACGTTGCAAACTGAAGAAACTCCCTTCAGTACCCAACGACTACTTGACTGTTGACGAAAAAGTAGTATACATTTAAAACGCATGACACTGGAAACAGGAAAGAACAGTTGGAGCTCTCAAAGCAACCAAACTGCAAATCCATGACAAAGAAAAACATTTAACGTGCAGATCCTTACCACAGAAAATGTCCAAATTTAAATTTTACAATTCTACATTTATCATTGACTGTACGTTCATGCTTAAAACATAAAAGGGGCAAAGCAGCTTCAACCATTTTGTTCTGACATTAACTGTATTCTGCAAAGAAACAAAGCTGACCACAGTAAGAACAGACTCCATCACTACCTGTGTGACGTTGTCATCATCTGCACTGTTGTATCGAGCCACATCAGGAGAAACCTTGAACCTGGACTCCAGGTAGCGAGGCTGAGACTCAGGGGCGCCGAAGCTGTTGGGAAAGTAGTTTGGAGCACCACCTAGTGACCCGACAGACGAACAATAAATTCACCAGAAGAAAGCTAAAAATAAAAGTTCTTACAAGAACATTGTAAGAACAATACAATACTTGTATTGGCGGCAGCAGACACTTGAGTAGAAGGTGAAATAAACACCTACCACTTGTTTTTGAGAAGGCAGACTAAACATTTACTCACACTTGTTCTTACAACTTGTAAGAACAAGTATGTTCTTACAATAAAGTTCTTGCAAGAATGTCAAGTAACTTCTCTGTTGAGTGTGAGGATCTTAAACAATGTGGGTACAGTTTAAATCAAATGCTGGCAAATAATAATAAAGATATTAAGAAATTAAGTGTTATAGACCAAATGAAAATGTAAATTTAGTAAAACGTCCTCACTGAAAGTGATGAGGTCTCACATTCTAACAAGAACATTTCTGTTACCATGTGAAACGGATATCCAGCCAGACGTTCTGCGACACCTCACACACAAATGCCCCATAAAGAGGTCGGTGCCGGAGACGGAGCCAGTAATCCTCCAACTGACGGAGGAATTTTTAACCATTTCGATGCTGGAACTTCAGCAGATAAAGAATAGGCGAAGTGAAATTGTACAAGAAAACTTAAAATGCTGTCAAATGTTCTAAAAAATGTAAATAAGAGAAAGTAAGAGAATAAAAGGTAATTTTTTTTTTATCCAAATGGTTTAGAACAAGGGCAGCACGGTGGCGCAACTGGTAGAGCTGCTGCATCTCAGTGAGCAGGTCCTTGGTTCAAACCCCGGTCCAGGGGCCTTTCTGGGTGGAGTTTGCATGTTCTCTCCGTGCATGCGTGGGTTTTCTCCGGGTGCCCCGGTTTCCTCCCACAGACCAAAAACATGCATGTTAGGCTGATTGGTAACTCTAAATTGTCCCGAGGTGTGAGTGAGAGAGTGAATGGTTGTTTGTCTCGTTTGTCTCTATGTGTCCCTGTGATGGACTGGAGACCTGTCCAGGGTGTCCCCCGCCCCTCGCACAGCGATTGCTGGACATGGGCACCAGCGACCCCCGTGACCCAAAATGGAAGAAGCGGGTAAAGAAAATGGATGGATGGATGGATGGATGGTTTAGAACAATTGCTCCATCCTCAGTGTGGTGTCAGTTGAGCCGAACCTACAAACCACGGCAGTCTGCAGACACTAAACCTGCTAGTTTGATTCCTACCATTAACCCACAGTTGGTCCAACTGAACTCACCCTGGTTGTCACTGAAGCACATTGGACCATCACGCTGGTAGTTGGCCACGCGGGCCCTGTAGGGACAGTTGACGGGGAGCTGCAGGTAGTTGGCTCCCAGCCGGTGCCTGTGTGTGTCGGGGTAGGAGAAGAGTCGACCCTGCACAGAAATACACTCGCTTTTGGGAAACACGAACGCTGAGATGCTTCAAGATTGTAAGTTTCATTTAATGAGAAGAAAATAAGAAGTAAAGACGTGCAACACTGTTACCTGCAGCATCTTGTCAGGACTGGGCTCAACGCCTGGAGGCATGTTGCTGGGGTCAAAGGCCAGCTGCTCCACTTCTGCAAAGTAGTTGATGGGGTTCCTGTTGAGGACCAGTTTGCCCACAGGAATTAAGGGGTAGTCCTTATGGGACCACACCTAGAAAAGGGGTAAAACATTTACTGCACTCATTTACAGGAGTTATTTTTAATAATATATCTGTTGCAATAAGGTCAATAATCCAGGAAGTGTTTTCATTAATAAAAATACGGATCTCGATGTAAATCATGAAGTGGAATCTAACGAACGCTGGGACTGTAGAGGGAAGCAGTACCTTGGTAACATCAAACGGGTTGAACGGGAACCTCTCAGCCTGTTCGAAGGTCATGACTTGGATGTAGAAGGTCCAGGACGGGAAGTTTCCTTTTGCGATTGCGTTGAACAGGTCTCCGATCGCATAATCCGGGTTGGTGGATGCCAGGCGGTCAGCCTCCTCCGCTGGAAGATTTTTAATTCCTTGATCGGTCTAAAAGTATATGAAAAATGGAATATGGGTATCAATAAGTTACATGATCAATAGATACTAGTTTGCCCAACCAGGCTACATGTATTTTATGGACTTGGAGAAGGTATTGGGGGGCTCATGCTCCATAAGATTCAGGCTCCGTTGCCACAGGCTGTTCAGACCCTCTCTATACAAGCGGTGCAAGACTTTGGTTCTCATTGCCGGCAGGAAGTCGGTCGCCCTCAGGGTGGGAGTTGGACTCCGCCAGGGCTGCCCATCGTCACAGATTCTGTTCATAACTTATGGACAGAAGTTCTCGGTGCAGCCAGGGGGCTCAGGATTCCTGCTCTACTCTTTGCGGATGATGTGGTCCCGTTGGCGTCGTCGTACCGTGATCTTCAGCTCTCACTGGAGCGGTTCTAAGCTGGGATGAGGATCAGCACCTCCAAATCTGAGGCCATGGTCCACAGTCAGAAAAGGGTGGATTGCTCTCTCCAGGTGGAGGAGTTCAAGCAGCTTAGGGTTTTGTTCACGAGGGAAGAATGGAGCAGGGGATCAACAGACGGATCAATGTAGCTACTGCAGTATTGCAGACTCTGTGCCGGTCCGTTGTGGTGAAGAGGGAGCTGAGCTGCAAGGTGAAGCTCTCCATTTACCGGTCAGTCGACGTTCCTACACTTATTTATGGTCATCTTGTTTTTGGGTAGTGACAGAAAGAATGAGACTGGGGATACAGGCGGTCGAAATGCGTTTTCTCTGAAGAGGAGCTGGACTCTCCCTTAGAGACGGGGTGAGAAGTTCAGTTATCAGGAGAGACTCGGAGCAGTGTCGCTGCTCCTCCACATCCAGAGGAGCCAGATCAAGCGGGTCAGGCATGTGGTAAGGATGTCTCCCTAGGGAGGTGCTTTGAGCATGTCCAACTGGGAGGAGACCCCAGGGAAGACTCCGGACACGCTGGAGAGACTGTAGGCTGGTCCTCCCAGAAGAGCTGGATGTGGAACGAGACTTTGGACATACGAACGGACGGATAACAGACAGTCAACCTAATTCCTTACGGACCTTGTAGTGGAACTTGCAGTAAACAGACTGGCCATCAGCGTTGACCAGTTTGAAGGTGTGAGAGCCGTAGCCGTTCATGTGGCGGAAGCCATCAGGCAACCCTCGGTCACTGAACAGGAACGACACCTGACGGAAGACAAAAAAAATAAAATAATATATGCGTTAAATAATTAAAGAAAATCACTTTGATCTGCAGCATTGCAGCAATTAGATACGCAAAATATTAGTTTGTTCAAAACAAGCGTGCCCACTGCCATCAATGAAGTATTCCTTCTTTTTAAAAATATTCAGAGTCAGTCGGAGTTCAGACCTGATGAAGACTCTCAGGCCTCAGGCTCCAGAAGTCCCACACCATGTCGGGGTCCTTCATGTGAATTTGAGGGTTACGCTTCTGAGTGTGGATGAAGGACGGGAACTGAAGGCAGAGAAACGTGGAGCTCGATCATGAACGTCACACGAGTCAGCATGAAAAGTAAAAATACTTCAGAAATGTGTTCATGCTACTCATCTTAAAAACAGGAATAAATATGTTTTTATGTTTAACAAGCACCCAAAACTGAAATAACTTGAATGTTTCAACGACTCTAAACCCCGACTCTCCTCTCACCAGGATGGCATCCCTGATGAAGAAAATGGGGGTGTTGTTGCCCGTCAGGTCCCAGTTACCCTCTTCAGTGTAGAACTTGACGGCAAAGCCTCTCGGATCTCGGACCGTGTCTGCCGACCCAGATTCCCCAGCTGGAGGACAAAAATCCACTTATTGACACAAGATAAGCTGCGGCTCTGTCACTCAAACAAACCTCTGAGAGGCTTTTATTTGCACCACCGAACATTTTATACTTTTATGACATGCTCTGTTGTCTAACCCCCACCTCTGATAAGAATTAAACATGCCTACGTTCAAACTGTAAACTCCAGTCCACGAGACAAATCAACAGTTTATTGTTTAAATAGATCATGTCTGAATATTCAGACCGGTACAAAATCTAAACTAAATGCATCGACTGAGGGACGTGGACTTTGTCATTCTGATGCAAGTCGTTTGCTTTAAACTGCTCTCGTCGCAAAATTTAACCAAACGCCCCCCAGAACCGCCCGTTCTCAGACTTAGATCTTCAAGCTCAAGGTTCTTTATTGTCATTTGCATCACATGTGGTACACGAGGTGGAACGAAACACAGGGTCCCAGTTACATCCAATAGCAAAATATGAATTGTAAAAGAAGCAGTAAAGAATCTAAGATATAAACTAAAAAAAATAAACTAAACACTTAATAGTGCAAAAACAATGTTCAGTATGATTTTAAAATTAAAACTTTAAATAATGATAGCACAGTCATGAAAGCGTTACATGATTGCCCTTACCCACAGTGGAGAAACGAACAGCAATGGGTGTCGTCTTGCCGACGTGTTCAAACACTTTAGCTCTGCAGTAGCGAGTGATGTCATGAGTGACCTCAAAGTAGCCAAAGGCCCCTGCAAAAACAACAACACAATAGTTTTGTCATTTCTCATTTTCTGTGCGTCTTTCCTCGAGGAGTTGCCTTCGGCTACAACTGGTCCAACGGGCTGAACTTCCAGAGCATCCACAAACGCCAGCGCACACGCAGTGAAAATTGATGGACAAGGCTGACTGGTTTGAAAACGTCAAATTATTGAGTGAGGGCTCGTTTTAAAGAACGGTTATCTAAACAGCAGCTTACCATAAGTGAGCTGTAGAAAGCTGGAGCTCAGCTGCAGCAGCCAGAGCTGCTACTGACGCACAACGCTAATCGAGTTCAATGTCATTTCCATCACGTGGTACATGAGGTGGAACGAAATTATGTACTCAAGGTCCCCGTTACAACAAAAACAGCAAAAAAATAAAGTATAAAAATAAACAGTAAATAAGGGTCTAAGATATACGCTAAACACTAATCATTAACTTTATTTATAAAGCTCTTTAACACCAGCCACAGCTGAAACTAAGTGCTGAACATCTGTAATTAATAATGTCAAACAATACAGTGTAACAGCAGCCCGAACACGAGTCTGTGGTGAGCAGACGGGCACGAATGAATACAGCAGCATGAGATGATCAGCAGCATGAGATGATCAGCAGCATGGATAATCAGCAGCACAGTACACATCACCAATTAAAGTGGCATTGCAGTGATTTTTCTTTTTCTTACGGTGATCGATGAGCATTTATACTGCTGCTAAATATAAGAATGACAACGACCGGTGCCCAACACTGACCAGCTCCTTTGGCGTGCACCACCCTCTCCGGGATTCGTTCGCGGTCGAAGTGGGCCATCTCGTCTGTGAAGACCACATCCTGGACAAGCAGGGGTCCTCTTGGTCCAGCGGTCTGCAGGTTCAGCTTGTCTCCAATGGGATGACCACCTCCTGTGGTCAGAACATCAGCTTTCTGGAACAGAGAAACATTAGGCCACAAACAAACAAACAAACAAACAAACAAACAAACAATTAGGAAGGAAGCAGAGTAGTTTTTTGTTCACTTCTATTAAAAAACAGTTTTTAAATTCAGATTAGCATAAAAGCTGTTTTAACCATTTTTAAAGGGACATGCAAGCACAAACGACCTGTATCCAGATACAGTGCATGAAGTTACTAATTTAAACAAGTTATTTCTGTTTAAATACAAAAACAACAACATTTAACCAGAAGATGGACTTTAGTCCCCAGTTGATGCCAGCTCCTGTTTACAAGCTCAGACACGTTGTTCTGAACACTTTTTACCTTTAACTGCACTCACACGGAACATTTTCAGCTCTCTGCTTGTATTGTATTATATTATATTATATTATATTATTATATTTTGTAACTTTCGTGGTTTTCAACAAACGGCCCGCGGTGAAACAGCTAGCTAGCTTGTTTATTAGCAACTTGTCTCTTTGCGTTGACGGCGACGAAACGATCACGAAACAATTACGGTAAACAACGTGGAGAATGTTTATGTGCACGTCCAAAATAAATAAATAAATCCGTCAGCAGGAACGAATATTTGGTCCACAAAACCAAAGGTTTCACTGTTCTTACCCCTGAACGACCTCTCACCCACATCTGATTCGGACACGCTGCGTCGTACGATCACTTGATGAAATGCAGCTTTTATACAAACCTGAGAGCCTCTGCTCTCCTTCCATGTCTTCATCTGGTCAGTGCTCTTATCCCTGTCCTCAGACATCTTGACACTGTCGACTTCGAAGCACGTCCAGGCCAAATGCTGCGCAAGTGGTGTTGCGGAGAAATATGTTACCCAGTTATCCTCAAACCAGACTCCTCCTTCTTCCTGGACTTTGTTCGATTTTGCTCCGCCCCTCGGGCGCCCCTCTTTTCTGATTGGCTGATAGAAGTGAACTGACCTACATGTTTCTCTCTTGTACTTTGTACTCATATTTTTATTCAAATAATACATTTCTAGCTTGATATAGTTATTAGCTTCTACCAGCTTCTAATATAGTCGACGTCCTTGGTTGGAATAAAGCTACATGACCTTATTTATATAGCTCAAGAATTAACAGTTGGGAGAGTTGATTTAAACTTTTCAACTTTTGGCAAAAATACATTTAGTTTTTTTTTTGTCCTTTAAAATACACTGCCTGACCAAACCAAAAAAAAGTTGCCACCAAAAAACAAAGGTCACACACTAATAGCTTTGATTACAGCATGCATTCACTGTGGCATTGTTTCGATAAACTTCTGCAATGTCACAAGATCTATTTCATCCAGTGTTGCATTAATTTTTCACCGAGATCTTGCATTGATGACGAGGCACTAGTCACCACGTTCCCTGAGGTCAGCGGACCAGTTGCTCCTCACAGTTCCAGGAACTTGTCTTAAGCGCATAGGGGACAGGGCCTTCTCTGTAGCAGGACCAAGACTTTGGAACGAGTTACCGCTGCTTGTCAGACAGGCCCCCTCCCTCTCGGTTTTCAAATCCCGTTTAAAAACTCACTACTATTCAGTAGCTTTCAACACCAGATGATCTGTGTTTTGAACCTGTATGCTCTACACTGGTTAGTCATCATTATCTGCATTGTTTTTATGTCTATATTCTGATTTACCTCATTTTGTATTTTGCTTTGTGTGTTACCTGTTGTTTTGTCTGTACATCACTTTGGTTGGCCTTGTTGCTGTTTTAAGTGCTCTATAAATAAAATGGTATGGTCATGATGGGTGCATCACTTCTCCTGCCTCTCTTCTGACCCTGATGCACCATCACTCTGGAACAGGGTCAATCTGGACTCATCAGACCACATGACCTTCTTCCATTGCTCCAGAGTCCAATCTTTATGCTCACAAGCAAATTGAAGCCTTGTTTTTCCAGTTAGCCTCACTGGTTAGTGGTTTTCTTAAGACTACACAGCTGTTCAGTCCCAGTCCCTTGAGTTCCTTCACATTGTGTCTGGAAATGTTCTTACTTTCACTATTAACCTATTAACCTTTCACTATTAATCACGATCATTCAGGATTGTTTTCCGGCCACATTTCTTCCTGGAAGACGATGGGTCCCCACTATCCTCCCAGTTTTTAATAATGTGTTGGACAGTTCTTAACCCAGTTTTAGTCGTTTCTACAATCTCCTGAGATGTTTTCTCTGCTTGATGCCAGTGATTTGAACCTTCTCAAACAGACTGACATCTTTTCACGACCACGCCACATGTCTTTCATCATGATTGTTGAAGAAATGAGAAGCGACTCATTGCACCAGTTGGGGTTAAATATCCAGGTGGAGACTTTTTTTTTGGCCAGGCAGTGTAACATCCATCTTTATTTTGTATAAAGCTTGCAACAAAACTTTAGGTCTATTTCTATTTTAAATAAAAAAACAAGTTCTCTTTTGTAAACTGGTAGAAAGAGATATATTTAACAAAATCTTGTCTTGTATTAGTTCAATCTGAGTTGTTTTGTTTTTGTTTGGTGATGTCAAAGGTCAGACTGGCACAGCTGAAAGGCCACTTCTGGCTCAAGGGCCACATTTTGCCTGTGTGAGCTCTAGATCGTTTGAATTTTGATCTGGATTTTTCTCTGACAACAAATCAAGGGTATTTTTGTTCTATCTAAAAAGTAAAAAACTACGTTCCACATTCTTAGTAACAGAAAATCAACAAGTCTTCGCTCTGGTTGTCGAATTGCTTTTTTATTTGAAACAGCATTCACACAATACACTGTATTCTCTGGGCACATTCACATAAAGTGCCAAATACCTTCATGCATGATCGGATGTGAGCTACAGCTTCGTTGAATGCAAATGGTGACTGTAAATGAAAATATTGCTTATTATTATTTGGCACAGTAGGAAATATTTGATATTATGTCACCACAAGTGTGTTATTTTTGGATATATTCTTTAAAGTGAGGTTGAGAAAGGCAGTCAGAACTTGACCAAACGTGTGCAACTGGTTTCCACTTAAAAAATTAAAATATACGAGGCTGATTATGCTCTAAGTGTTAGGTTTTCCACTTAAGTCACGTTCAAAAAGTCACAACAAAACACTATTGCACAAAGTCTCAGAGAGATTAAAAAGCCACTCTGAGCTTTACAGGATGCTGTTGGGATTAAAAACATGTCAGCCGTGTTAGCGCTCTGCTTTTAGCCAACAAAAGCCTAACGAAGTTGGACAAACACCCACTGAGAAACAGCCACAGAAAAAATCAAGGTGTTTCCTTTAGCATAAACTAAACGCATACAAAAGAGTTAGTACTTTACATCACATGTTAAAGTCCCAGAGGAGTTTTAATTACAGCTGACTCGTCATCAGCGATGACATATAGTGTGTTTGAGAATAAAGTTTGGTGTCTTTTATTACATATACTGTGAAAAAAACTTGGTTTGCACAAAGAATTCAGAAGGAAAATGACAAATGGTTAAATATAGTCTGGTCCTTTTTGAAGTAATGCTCTCTCAAACACTTTTTAATATTTAGCAGCTGTGACATCAGAGTCTGAAGAAATGAGCAGAAGACTTTGTCCATACTAAGCTTATGGCTAGCCAAACAAAGATCTGGTTTTTAAATTGTTTTTCTGGGATATAAAACAACTCTTTCTCTATATAGTTCTACTGGTGTGAATGAAAGTGACATTAGCCAATATTAAACCTCTACAGTCACTTTTCCATGACACCATTTGTTCAGTTTGTTTCTGCTTCCTTAACCGACGGGCCCTCGTTTGGCTAACTAGCCTAGATGAAGACTTCTGCTCTTTTCTTCATCCTCCAAGCTCCATGGTCAGGGCTCAATTAGAGCCAGATCCTGCCGGAACTGGGGACACTCTATTTTGACAGGGTGCGTTCTATTAACCGTTTGCTTGGATCTGGTAACTTCCCTTGCTAATAATAAAGTTATAAATAAATTTGATGACCTTGAACGAATAAAACTTATATTGGATATGTAATCTGAAAATAATTACATAAACATTCATTTTAAACACAACAGCCAATTTGAGCTTCTTAATATCATGTAAGAGCTGCTCCTTCAAGTAAGCATTTCTGCTTCTACCCTTAAAAAAATCTCCACCCCCTAAAAGTTCAGTCATGGGAAATTTAATTAAAATCACAAAAATATAATTAAACAGCAGAACTAAATTGCAAATCAGCTTTACAATTAAAGTGGGTCATTAATAAAATTTTGATTATTTATAAAAAAAATACGAGAGAAATGTTTGATGGGTAATCACATTACGTAGCTACATCACGTATCAAAACAACGGCACCAATTTGTCAAAATAACAGCAATCAAAATGTCGAAAACACAGTCCAATTTAGTTTAATAAAAAGACAAAAGTCTCGTTGTACAACTAAACAACTGAGAACTGAAGCACATTAAGGCAGTGGTAATGGAGATAGTACTGGGGCAGGTAGAGTGGTGTGGGCGAGTGGCGAGCTAACCAGGCTGTCGTACCCGGGCAGTCGCAATGAACAGCTGAGGAGGAGCCTGGGGGTTTCACATGTGGAGGAGAACAACAACAAGGTGGACAGCAACGAGGAGGACAGTGAATTCAGCAAAGAATAGAATGCGTGACAGAAGTGGAGCGTGCTCTATTCACACAAGGAGAGCTGTTGGTCAGGATACTTCTGTTTGCTCTCTAAAATAATTGTTGAATCAAGTGTTTAGAAATGTAGGTAAGCGTAGATGATTAAAAACCCATTAAAATACACTAAAATGCAGGAAATGGCATCTACTACTCAAACATTTCTGGAGGACCCCCAGACCTAACCCCCCCCCCCCCCACACACACACACACACACATGCTTTTTGCATGCCGGCATTGTTTGGTTTACAAATTAAGCACTGTCCATGGCTGATGTCACAGCTGAAAAATATTAAAAACTGACCAGACTGTCCCTTTAAGAGTGTGTTGGAGTAATATTTACAATCTCACATATGCAACAAGTATTGCGTTAAAAATAGAACATTGCCATTATTGTGATGATTTGAACTGATTAGGCCACCCTGCAACAACTGCTACAAATAACTTTTTTCACCTGGATAAGAGTACCTGGATATTTTCAACAGCACAATAAATACTGAACATTTCAAAACCTCTATAACTTTTCAGTCTCACCGTTAACAAACGACACCAAATCTAGCGGCACTGACTCGACTTGGCTCAAAGTCCAGGACTAAATGAATCGAACGATTCCAACAAACAAAATGAGTTTTCCTGAAAGAGAAGCAACGTCACTCCTTCGTCCCGCCAGCAGTAAGACGCACCATGCTAAGGCTGGACTTCTTTTCTCACTTTAAAACTCATTCAAAGGTCCAAAACGAAAAATGTCATTCAAAAACGTGGGAAAATGATCCCACAATTCATGTCTTCCTAGACAAATAAGGAAAAACAATCAAGTTTCAAACGGATTTACACCGAACGTACTGAACCCAGGGTAACGATAGACAGGTTCGTAAGGAGAATAATTACACCCCCTAAAACCAAATGGTGATTTTACAGCTCCCCCTCCATGTATAAAGATGATGTTTAGTTACTCTCTTGGTCACAATGTAAAACTATAACTTTAACGATCCATACAAGAGTTCAACATGGAGAGGAGTGGTCTTCTGAGAGACCTAGATCCTGCGCAGAGGGTGCCACATGGACACGGGCTTCCTCAGGGTGGCTAACATCTGATTCCAGTGGGTGATCCCCATCCCGCTGGCCTCAGGGCCGATGATCACATGACCTAGGTTCTCTCCCCGCCCGTCGTCAGTGGCCTCTGCCACCGTCACCCTCAGGGAGAGTTCCTGCAAACAGAAAAACATGGTTACACATTCCGATCTGTGCACGTGACGGTTTTTGCCCCGTTTCAACAGTTCCCATATCAAAACGTTCAGCTCGTTCAGGACATTCCTGCCGTGACTTCAGGGATTCATGAGGTGCTTTGAGTGTGAAGACTCACATCTGTCTCCCTCTCTGACCCCCTGGACCCCCTACAGTTCACATACAGAACAAACAGGTCTACAGATGATGCTGTAGCAGTTCACAGCTCCCTCAGCCATGTGGAGAAGGTAAACACCTTTGTGAGAATGCTCTTCATTGACTACAGCATTCAACACCATAATCTCCTCCAAACTGGTCTCCAAGCTCACCGCACTGGGCCTGGAGAAGTCCATCTGCTGCTGGATACTGGACTTCCTCACCAACAGACCACAGGCACTGAGAATCGGCTGTCACCTCTCCTCCACACTAGCCCTCAGCATTGGTGCACCTCAGGGCTGTGTCCTCAGTCCACTCTTGTACTCTCTCCTCACACATGAATGTACCGCCAAGCACAGCTCAAACGTCAGTGTGCTGATGACGCCACCATCTTGGGCCTCATCACCAAGAACGACGTGAGTGCTTACAGAGATGAGTTGAAACCACTGATCAGCTGGTGTCAGGAAAATAACTTCACTCTGAATGTCAGCAATATGAAGGAGATGATGGAGGACTTCAGGACACAACGTGGAGGCCAGCATTCCACCATCTACATAAACAATGCTGAGTGGAGCAGGTCATATATGTTGATGAT